TTATATATTCGTTCATTATAAAGCCTAAAATGGCTTACTATGTTACTTTTCATACTTTAGATTTAGACTATAGAGAGTTAGAGACTTTGCAAGGTTTGTTGACCTCACTGTGCCTGATCGGTTTTTTTTGCTTGCTCTAATCTATTGTGATATGTTGACATTTTCCTGTACATAGGATACCCTGTCGTTTATTCAGGAAAAAAGAATCCTTTCAGGCACTGCCAATCCAAAGCACAGGTAATTTCTTCTACATGTTAGGCTATTGTATTAACATATAATGTAAAATTCATCTGCACTGGTCAGAACAGTACATTGGTTTTAGATGAAACATGTCTAAAATAACTCTATAAGAAGTACTCTTTCAGACATATTCCTTTTCCTGTTTGATTCTTTTTTACTATCCACTCCTCATGGATCCTCATTGCAATATTAAGAAGGCCATGTATCATCTACCTCCCTATGTGGCTGCTATTTTCAAAAGAAAGCTTCTATTCATGTGGCTGCCATAATAATGTACTCATTTTCTTGAGCAAATACGTGTTGGTTCTGTTGACCTGAATCAGTTAGTACCAACGAATGCATTTTTAATCCACCATTTAAAATTCTTAGCACCCTATAATCACTAATTTGGAAGCTAGAAAAAAACAAGAAGACAGTTATTATGGGTATACTTCAAATTGGTCCTATTATTTAAATCTATGTTAGGTCTTATAAAACCATGAGAGATGCACCTCTTGCTTTTCTTACCAAGGGGCAACCATGATTGCATGGTAGTTCCGTTGGATAACTGAGTTAGTGCTTGCGCACCATATTAATACCATTTTTGTCATTTCACTATATATATAGGTTGTTCAAGTGCTTATGCTGTATTTGTGTCGATTGCACCCTAATATGAATCGGGGATTTATCTTTGGTTTCCCACTTCTTCCTTTTCTCAGCAAGGGCCAAATATGTGTGCATGGTAGTGCTGTTCAATAGATGAGTTAGCGCTTCCTCACCACGTTGATATCGTTTTTCTCATTCCAGTATATAGGTTCGTCAACTGCTTATGCTAGATTTGTGCCGACCTTTTTACTGGGAACAGCCCAAGAAGGGGTATCTCTAAAATGCCATTAATTGACAGCATTGCTGACAAGCCATGGTATTACTTCCAATAGTCCATCATCAGGTCATCTTGTGGTAGATTTAGCTGCCCTCTATTTATCTGATGTTGTGAACAATTCCATTTTTAATTATTTCCGTAACACATTATTATGATACTATGCAACATGGATGGCGTCGTATCTAATGAAGTTTGTTTAGTTTAAAGAGTGATAGTGTGAACCACATTGGAATTAGAATTAGTTACTACACGGAGTCCCTCATGGATCTAACTATTAATGAACGTAGAAGGCTCTCTACCAATCATTTCTTTTGGTCGCATCATCTTATATATTTTCTTGAAGAAAAAGCAGTCTCATATAAAAGAAAAATTCTTTGATCTTATATAACTATGCTTCCAACTTGGTCTGTGCATGATCATGATATAGGCATAAATATTGACTAACTGCAAAAAAATAATTTTAGGAATTGTTTTAGATGTAATTTAATATACCAAGATGAGATAAGTTTGCTATTGTACCCCTGTTTCTTTTATCTTTTTAATTAGTGAATAACTTTTAGGACTAACTTTAGCAAGAAGCTACTCAATTTGCATAGTGTAAGGACTCCACAATTGTCATAGCCTCTATTATGAAATCGTTCTTAAATGATACTATTTTCTATTTTCTAAGTAATGGATCATATTTATGCAGACCAATCTGAGGCGATAATATCATGTCAGATGGGAGCCTAAAAAGGTTGACACAATATTTTGCTGATGAATAATAGATCTGGTCTTATAGGAATTTTCACTGCATCCCCAATCCGATATTTTTACCACATTGTAATCAAGATTTTGTTATTCCTATAATCCTGGACTCAATAGATACAGATATAATGTACTGGTGCTTGCAGAGTTTGCAGAGCTTATATACTAGGACGGGAGGCGCGCTCCGTTGCGCCCGCCCCAGTCCAAGCTGAAACTAAACACAATAGAAGGCTGTCGAAAAGCGTAAACAATTTTTTAGCTAACTGCGGATTAGAGTCAAGATGGTTTCATGTGCAGCGGACCAAAAATATTGGGAACGAATGACATGGCCAGCCATATATGTAAAAGAACCACAAAAAATTGCAAATTGAATAAAAAGAAGTATATGTAGGCAAACAATACATGACGTATTGGGACATCTAAAGTTCTAAACATACATGTTAAATTGGTGCATGAAAATAATAACAACAAAGGATCATCTTGAAAAAAAGCATATGATGTCTCTAATGTATCCTTTGTTTATCCATGTCCATAGTAATCTTCTCTATATGTCAACTGTCCAGCCTGTCAGGTGGTAAGAGGCACCGAGTCCTATTTTTCTTACTGCAAAATTCCAAAAAAAAAGGTGAGAAGCACATGTAAATAACAGGCATATACTTACCGAATTAGAGATGTTAATATTACACGGAATTAGACATGTTGTTGACGTTGCATGCTGCAAAAGCAATAAAATGATATTGATCATATAAACTTGAAAAGGGGGAACTAATATGAAAGCGAAGGTACGCAAAAGAGCGACAATAATACTAACCAAACATGAATGCCCTCACTTAATTTCTTATGACATGGAAAATTGAGGCAACTCAGAATGGGAAAGTTTTTGGACTGGCAGTTGTTTCCTTTTGGTTAACCAATTTAGTACTGTAATTTGCAAAGGCAAATATAAACATATCAATAAGAAACTAAGAATCAATGGTTTCCATATTCTGGCTGCAAATTAGTGGTTTACATAAGATCACAAGGGCAATGAAGTTTATTGTAGTTGTGCACAATAACAAATATGAGAGAGAGAACAAGGGACTAATAACTGTATTTTGTCAGGAACCTATGTACACTGGCAATGAAATTAGATGCACAGGTGCATTGACACGATAACACAGAGCAATATTTGGATTTACTGATCTATCTATTTTTGTTCCAGCCCATACAGGGATACCATTAACACTCCAACGCAGATACATACCTATTTAAAATCCATTCATATGCATGCTCTTTAAATTATGAAAACGATCGAAGCATGTCAATAGAAGCACATCGTATATAACAAAGATTTACCTTAGCATATCCATTTGCAGTACTAATGCTGACATAGTCAAGAAAGCATAATTAAGTCTTACATTGGCAAATAAAGAAAGAGAATGAAATGAATAAGGCATATAGGATATCACTCTGTTATCTAGTTCACCCTTAGGTGGTTTGAAGAGCACAAGGACTGTCCAGTTTACACAGGATATTTGCCTGTTTAATATAATAGCTAGTAATGGTACTTTTGGACTGGATACATATTTCACCTATAACATAGTACTTTTTGGAAGTTACTTCTGACATAACCCTCTATTGCCTTATTGGCATCTTAAATAGCATAATAAATAAAATCAAGAAATCACACGTAATCACACAGAGCTAATGCTGAGGTTGTTAATGAGAAACACTTGCTTCAGTCGTCACAAGCTTCAGGTAAATCGTAGCTAGTATGCGTATGGTAGCAGCACTGAAGGGAAACATCACTACAAATTTTCCCTTTTGTTCATCGATCTAAAGCCAACATGAAGGCCGAATGCCTGGTCTTCTCCATGGCAATATGATTAAATCTTATAACCATTGCTTGGCGATGACTGTATGGAAAGAAAGTAGATTGAAGCTTAACTCAAAATTGGAGGGAATATAACTTTAGAAATATAAACATGTGTTTGTATCTAAGGTTGGGCACATATAGTTGTCAAATACTAGGTTGTATAGACTACAGTGTTAGGAAGAGGAAATTTTATTTCAGGTCTGGCTAATATATATACCACCCTGTAACTGCAAAGGTAAAATAACTGCTGAACTTGAAGACATGGCGTGCATACATTGACATTGTTCTGAGCGTTTTGCTAGCAGCCGTGCATCTCCTTAGATAAATTGGTTGAAAAGCATTCGATACTACAGAAGATTGTTCATATCGAAAGCAATAAAATTTGAGTAAGGCTATATCTCCTAAGACCAAAAAAAGGAACGATGAATCTTTGCAGTGAGAATTTTCTAATAAGCCTACATCTTTCCATATTTAAGATTTTACTAAACAGGAGTTCCTTGTTAAGATTAACATAGGACCAATTCAATGAACATAGGGTGAGGTGAAGTTCCAGCATCTACAGATCTTTGAAAAAAAAAAGCTACAGCATCTAACATAAACTGGTATGGCAAGAATATTTATGTAGTGTTGCACAATGGTTTGAGAATGGAAGAAAGCAGGTGTAATATTACATACATCCATTTAAACACTAACAATCCTTACCATTCATGAATGCCCTGTTGAGCTTTTAATAAGGTTCTGGATCTATTCAGTGGAGCATATTGTACAGATTAGTAAGAGCTGTTACGAAATTAGTCTGGTAGTCTGAAAAATCAAAGACCAGACACAGGATCTAAAACCATGTTAATGGCAGCTAACACACCTGATCAGAATTGAAATAGCCTGCAATAGATGCTGCATGCAGATCAGTACATTAGATATGTCGAGAAAGAATATTGTATCTAGAGAAATCGCAAAAGCACCTAGCGGTGGTGGTAGACCGGCTCGAGCCTCTCGTAGCTGGAGATCTCGATTAGGCAGGGCGTTCCCTGATTCCGTCTGCCACCGGGCGCACGGTGGTGAGGCAGGAGCACGTGTCTGATGCGGCCGCCCCCGAGCTGCTGTCGCTGGATTTCAATGTTGCTGCTGGTGTGAGGAAGTGCAATCCACATGTAGGGGCTGCGATCCATCACCGGTAGCTACGTATTGTGGCACTTGCCAGAGGCCGCGCGCGGTAGCCACAGCACTGCCGTGCCGCTCGCAAGCACACCGCCCAGGTCGCACGCGGCCACATCGCACACAACACAGAAGAGAAAGATGGGAATTAGGGACTCGAATGAACAAAAGGCAAAGGGAAGCAGGGGATGGTGGGCATCGTTGATGAACATACGAACATACCTCTTCGCTAGGGTCCAAGGAACCGTCCCCGTGGTAGATGATGGGGTAGCCACCGATTGGTCCGCCGGGGCAGAAGGAGGCGACGAACCAGAGGATGAAGAAAAGAGAGAGGGCAGGCAGCAACGGGCAGGAGGCGAGGCGGGCGGGTGGAGCGGAGACGACGATGCAGCTGGCAGCCGGGGCGACGCCGAGACGGAGTGGCCGAGGATTGGGGGCAGATGGCGTGGCCTGTGACAGGCGACATATTTTTAATTGGCAGACTCGTGAGTCCTTTTCTAGCACATGACCGGTTAAGACCGTAGATAAGCAGAGTTTTGACGGGCACTGAGCAGTAAAAAAAAATGCCACGTGAAAGGCAGCCATAGGCCAATGACACGTGGATGGGCTGGCCGTGCTCCAATTTATTCACCATTGAAGCTCTACTAATTGGTGTTGACTGTTGACCGGTGTGCCTTGCAAACTTTTCGTTTTTGCTCTTTTGTCTAGCGACCGTGTTCAGGCTATATATATAGATACCATCCAGTTATTCCTAATTATGTTTTATTCTGTTACAGCTTTTAGTCACATGTTTTCTTAATCACGTCTCATCCCATACAACAAGCTAACATTATGCTCATTTACCCGAAAACAACCTACGAACTATGGATTTCTAAAGGTTATTACGCGGGGTCTGCCTCAAAACCGGCGCAGCGAAAGCGCCCCCCCTGTGCTAGTATATTCATGCATGCATGTATGCTCATCGCAAAATATAATAATGTAATGTAATATATAAATGCACTGAGATGCTTACCATCGAAAAACAAATCAACTTTTCATTGGCTATTATTGGTCGGCCAGACATTAGGGTATGAATAGGAGAGCATATATGTATGTAGGGCGGCTATGGATTATTCAAGATACTTAATTACTCCTTCCATTTCAAATTATAAGTCTAGAGAGTTAAAGCATCTCAGTTTGATCAAAATTATAGAAAAAATTATAAAAATTTATAATAAATAGGTATACTATGAAATTATAATTAATGAAGAATCTAATGATACTTAATTGATATCCTGAATGTTATTATTTTATTATATAAATTTGATCAAACTTGAGATACTTCGACGCTCCAAAAAAATTGAAATAAAAAGTTATACTGAACAAAATAGGTATAGATACACGTGACTACTATATTAAACAAAATTAAGTAGTATTCATTAGTCACGTGTCAGTAGTATTCAGTATTTCATGGCATTGATGTGTTGTACTGACTGGTACTAAACCAGTAGTACTCAGTATTTTGTGGCAAGTTTTGGCTACTAGGTGGAGAATAATATTCTATACACACAGGCCTGGCCTTGGGGGGGTTCGAGCTGTGCGATGGCACAGGGCCCTCGAGGCCAAGGGGCCCAATCCCAGGTCTGCATACGTATAAGCTATAGCTGGTATACTCTTGTCTAATAGGAAATATGTATATGGCCCCATATAGGAAATACCAGGAGCGTTGTACGCATGATGAAGTGTTCGTCGATTTCCCTTCCGCCGTGACTGCTCTCCTTGGTGGCTCCATCGCTGCGCCTTCACATCCGACGTCGCGGTCGCACCACGTACGTCGCCGTCAACGATTTGCCTCCGCTGCACCTTCGTGGCTTATTATTCATTATACTCTCACCGTGGCAACTCTCGAAAAAAAAACTTGGTGATTCGCGAACACATGGTTTATTTTAATGTTGAACTGAATCCAGTACAACGGTACTTACTAATTTCTAAATTTCTAGTGTCCTCATGTTGCTAAAAAAATATACATTTAGAAGAGCCCATCTCTCTAGCTTCGCTTCAGGCCTATAAATTGACACGACCGGGCCTGTATACACCTAGGGTGTAGAATATCACCGCCGTAGGTATAAATTATTAAATGTTTTTATTAAGAGTGACGAAGGCAGTGTAGTTATTGGTGATGACAAACGATTTTAGACCCAGCCTAGAAGGCAAGTTGTCTCGAAGATGGCAAACTCCTAAAGTCAAAATAGTTACTAACATAACATATTGTCAAAAGTTGATAAGTACAGAGTAGACATAGGTCTACTTTGGTTGGACTTTTCAACATGTTTTAATTTTGGTATGCAAAGACTAAAAACCGAAAAACTACGGTTGCTTTAGCCAGAAACTGCTTTTTGCTCTAGTATAAACTTTACGCACCTCTCCCCCTACTTTCACGTGCTTATGAGTTGGGTAACTTAGTCCCCGTTTGACATGGCTTCTCTAATGGCTTCAGGAGCTGTTTTTTGCCAAACGGAGTAAAATAAAACGGCTCCACCGATGAAGCCCCTGAAAACGTGCTCTCACAGAGCTTTGGGTGGGAAGGAGCCAAAAATAGTGGCTTCTCTCGGCTTCATCTCATTCTACATGGCGTTCTCTGAAGCATATTTTAAGAAAAAACTATATGTAAAGCTGTTTTGCCAAACGATTTATCAAAACAGCTACAGCTCTACCTATAAAGCTGTTTATGGAGCTAAAATCTCAAAAAGAAGCTTTATGTGAAGCATATTTTAAGAAAAAACTATATGTTCGATTTATCAAGCTAAAATCTAAAAAAAAAGCTGTTTATGATGAAATCTCAAAAAGAAGCTTTATGATGGAGTGAAGCCGTGCCAAACGGCCTTAAAGAAATTACTCTCTTTTCCCATACACGCGATGGCTGGTGCTTGCAAGAAAGGGAGACCTCACCGCAGCTCATCTAGGTTGGCGCCCCCACGGCGGCGAGCGCGGTGGCTAGCGGCATCGCCTCCGGGCAGGCATGGGTGTGGCCTCGTCCCCATCCCCGGCTCCGGCCGGCGCGGGCATGGACGCCGATGGCTCCGTTCCTTCTTCCTCGGGCGAGCTCTGTTTCTTCTTCCCTGTGAGCTCCGTTTCTTATTCCTCGGCCGAGCTCTGTCGAGCGAGCGCGGCACCGTCAGGCCAGCGCCGGTCGAGCACAGGTCCGTTGGGCGAGCGCCGGGGCACCGCCCCTCGCCGGAGCTACGGCCCGTCCCGAGATCTGTGGGCTTGCCAGAGCACCGCCCTTGGTCGGGCTCCTACTCCCCATGTGGATTGACAAAACGAGGAAGAAGAAGACGAGGAAAAAAAAACGAGAAATATGCGTTGGGTGACTGACAGGTACGTGGACCTGATGACAGATGCTTTCCAAAAAAAAAAGTTATAACTGTGCAACTAAACGGCTTTAAGCTTCTTCAAAAAGACAAAAGTCACCGTAGCTTTTTTAAAACCCAAAAAAAAATCAATAACTCAACCAAACAAGACTATGGAATCTTAAAAAGAGTGCTTGTGAGAAGGTAATTTTTACATCCGTTGTCATAATAATTTATCGTTGGTATAAAGTATAGGCGGGAGTGAATAGAGACACTATACATTGAAGGCAATTTTTACGTACATTCATAATTTATTTGTCGGATACCACAAGAAGGGGTACCCTAAGCAAAAACCAAAAATATTGCTTAAGCCTTACAAAAATTAAAGCCAAAGGACAACCACGAGGTATCGGCAGATTCTCCGACTCGTCCAAGGCTTGCGCCGAGGCCTCAGACGAAAGGCCAAAGCCCTCCGCCCCGCCGAGGCCCTCTCGCCGAGGCCCCCTTGCCGAGGCCCCGCCCCGCAATGCCTCGGATGTGATACCAATTCTCCGATTCGTCCGAGGCTAGGCTCGGCAACAACCTCGTCACCTCCGTCCCGACCGACTCCCCTGACAAAACGCCACATCCAGTCAATACGCCCCACTACTCCCATAGCGTCGCCGGGCCTTGCGTTGGCACTGACAGAGAATGACCGACGGGATAGGGACCGGCGCGTGAGCGAGGGTTACCTACCATCAGGCTCATCATCATGCCCCCCTAACGACACCAGACGCTTGCTCAGGCTACCTAACTCCTGCGCCAAGGACAAAGTGGCGTGGAGGGTCAAGTCCGGGTCCCAGTAGTATCGGAATCAGCATGAAAGACCAACCGTTCGTCCTCCGCCTCGTCTGAGACCCCCCGGCAAGGCCTCGGACGTACTATTCCTTCTCCGCCTCGGCCGAGGCCGGGCTTGTCCCGCATCCTCGTCGCCTCCGCCTCAACTATCTCTCTGGCGAGCCGTCACATCCGTTTAAGTGCGCCTGGTCACACCTACTACGTCAGCCACAACTGACAGGGTACAGCAACAGGGGCGATGGGACAGCGGTCAAATCTCCTTTTTACCATCCCCTACTGACGGTGCAAGGGTTACCGTGCCCTGTGGACACACGCTCCGCACTTCTCTACCTGAACCGGGTACGATGCTGACCACCGAGACCCCCACATCATACACGGGTCACCTCCGAGGCCTCGACAAAGCAGGCCTCGGCATGATCAGCTACAGCACCCGCCAGGCCTCGGCACTCCACCAAGTCAAGAACAAACAAGGCACGTCATGTCTCCTACAGTGGAAAACCATACTGACTAGACATCAACAAGGACTCCCACGACCTCAACAACCTCGGGCCTGACCAGCACAGTGCGCCAGTCAAGTACCAATCGCCATCCCTAACACCATGCTGCTACAGGACTGAACTACAGTAGGCTCCACGTATAGCTCACTCATGTACTCCTAGCTCCCTCCTTGCGGTTATAAAAGGAAGCAGCCAGGGATAACTTGGGGGGCGAAAAAGGAGAAAGAGGAAGAAGACCTAGTAGCTCACACACATACACATCCCAGCCGCCTGAGAGCAACGTCTCAAGCAGCCCACACGATACCTCACCGAGACCTAGGATTAGCTTCCTCTCTCCCTGTGCTTGTAACCTCCTACTACTAGCACTTCGGTGCAAGGAATACAAGATCGATCTCTCAGACTGGACGTAGGGCATCGATTGCCTGAACCAGTATAAACCTTGTGTCTCTTTGCATCACCATCCGAGATTAGGGGCACACAGTTCAAATTCACTAGTTGATAGAGGACCCCCGGTCCGAAACACCGACAGTTGGCTCGCCAGGTAGGGGCCTCTGCGTGTCAGTTTCGTCATCCCAACAAGTTTTGGATGGCAGACCCCATACGACCATTACGTCTCGGCACGATGATCTGGTTCGGGGGCCTAGAGTTCATGTCTCTAGGGCATGAGTACGACATGGTACTCCTCACGCCCCGAGCCCCACCAACCGACGGCGTCACACGCACGGCAGCCCGGCAAAGTGGCGGCACCCGGGCGGCACTCTCGCCAGTGCTCGCTAGGCACGACGCGAGCAAG